GGTGGGGTGGGGGTGGGGTGGGGCCCACCCTGGTTCCATCTCTGGACGCTTTCCCCTGGCTCCACTCCACCAGAGGAGGAGTGTCATGGTCACATTCTGGACTGTCACCCTGCTCTGTCACTAGTCAGCTGTCAAGTGCTATGCCTGCTCACTGGTATCTCCTGGTGATGGCTTTTGGAATCTTTCTGAACTCTGGGTGTAAGCCTGGGCGTCAGTAACTGCCCTCCCTGTCCTCCTGTCCTTAGTGAAGATTACCTCTGGACAACCAGGTTCTATTTACCTGGACTCCCAAGGCTCCAGATCTGACCTTCAGCCTCAGGTAGCATCCCTTCTGTCTGAGACACTTCTGCCCTGACCAGAATCAGCCATCTTGCAAAGGGTCCTGGTTCCTCTCAGTGGGCATCACATGCTCAACACAGGGAAGGCCACTGCCAGGCAGGCCTTCAGAGGACGGAGCCAGGGCACTGATGTGCTGCATCCCCGCTGCCATGTCCTGCCCACATCCAGCCAGGGCCTTCCTCACTTTCCCTGTGTGTCCTTTCCCCCAATCTCTACAGGCCCCAGAGCTGGGGAATGAGCTATCACAGAGTACCAGTGCTCCCTACAACAGCCTCCTAGGGCAGCCTCAGCACAGACACACCAGCCCAGCAGTGGGGCAACACCCAGTCGGTGTTTGCAGTTCTTCCTGCCTGAGCCTGCTTGTCTGTGGGAGCCAGTGTTCTGCTCTGGAGCCGCAGGGCATAGCTCCAGCCGGTTCAGATGCCCACTGTTGATGCACTTAGGTTCGTTTAATTTTACAGTCCAGTGTTGGGGGACTTTTCAAAGTAAGTTCTACAGACATGTGTACCCCATGTCTGTAAGATGAGGCACATTCATTGTAAGAACTGCAGCTGGGGTGTCAGGGTGCTGCCACCCAGCCTCCTTCCCCCGGTCTGAGAGGACACACTCAGCACTCAGCACTCTGAGAGGACGCACTCAGCACTCAGCACTCTGAGAGGATGCACTCAGCACTCTGAGAGGACGCACTCACCGCACTCAGCACTCAGCACTCAGCACTCTGAGAGGACGCACTCAGCACTCAGCACTCTGAGAGGACGCACTCAGCACTCAGCACTCTGAGAGGACGCACTCAGCACTCAGCACTCTGAGAGGACGCACTCACCGCACTCAGCACTCAGCACTCTGAGAGGACGCACTCAGCACTCAGCACTCTGAGAGGACGCACTCAGTACTCAGCACTCTGAGAGGACGCACTCAGCACTCTGAGAGGACGCACTCAGCACTCAGCACTCTGAGAGGACGCACTCACCGCACTCTTGTTCACCTGCTGATGTGCAGAATTTAGGAGCCGTTGTGTTTTCATTCTGATTTGCTTCTTTTCCTAATATGTTCCTAACTGCCTATAGTCCTCTTTTTGGAGTGGGTACTGCTGGTCTCACCCTGAGAAGTACTGAACCAGCCAGTACCCTTCTCCTCTCCGAGCCCAGCAGCTGTGATGAACCAGTACCTTCTCTGTGTCAGCAGCTGCATGCTCTCATCTGCCTTCCCTGGGTGCTAGTTGTCTATGCCGCACACGCACCCTCTCCACTTGTGAGTCAGTGACAAGTTCCCACGTTCGCCATCCCGTGGGTTTCCTAATGCAGAGCCTGGGCAGCCGGGCCACTGCTGGCTTCACGTTCAGGGCCTCCTAGCTTCCGTGGCTCTGTCAGCCAACCTGTGTGCTTGCCTGCAGCTCGGGGGAAGGACCTGCTGCCCGGTGCAGCTCAGCAGCTGGCAGATATGCTGGTCACAGGACCCATGTTCCAGCCATCAGAGTGGAATGTGGGATACAGACTCGGCAGACTACAGGACTGTCAGGGAGCTAAGGGCAGGGAGCAGTGTTCCCGAGCCCTTACTAGTGTGCTGCCTCCTCGTCATGGTGAACACGAGTCACCCTGATCTCCCTCACCCAGCCCTGGGTGACAGTCTGCTGCTCCTCTTCCTTGCAGGCATGGAAGGCCCATCTGATGGGTCCCAGTGGCTGCACCATGAACCTGCGCAAGACACACATTCTGTACAAGGTCGCAGCACCGCAGCAAGGTAAGGCCTAAGGCATGTTTGGGGCACCTGTGCTCTGTTCCAGCTTAGGCATAATGCATCCTGAGTTTCATGCCCTTAGTGCAGCTGATCTGGTAACCTCTGTTTCCAGGTGCAGCAGGCTATTGCTGCTGCTCCTGACGGCCTCCTGGCCAGCCACTGGGGGCTGTTAAGAGTGACCACAGCCGCTGGTTCTTTCCATGTGACCCACCCTGCACCCAAGGGATAGCCACTGCCTACTGCCTGACTTACAGCCACCCACCATCTGAGGTATTGTTTCAGAGTAGGACCCTTCCAGAAAATGTATCTTTTGTTAGGAGATCCCTCTAGGCCAGAAGACATTTGGATGCAACTTAATTTTAAGTTGTGATAAAACAACCCTGGTCATATAGTTCAGGGTTAGTGTCTGCCTAACATGTGCAAGGCCCTCCGTTCCATTCCCAGTTCAGAAAAGAACAGTGACTTGAGTGGCTGCTCCAGTTGTACCAGGTGTTGCAGCTAGGGCTCATGTGGCAGGATGTCATCCTCGCCTAGCCTCTCAGAAGTGAGGGGTGAGACCTGCGGCTCCTCAGCAGGTTTATCTTGACCACGCTGCTACTGCTTTCCTGGGGCTTGGTTGCTGAACTGACGGCCTTCTATGCCCGTGTCAGGCTCCCTCACAGCCTTTGTCCTTTCCTCTCCTGGTACCTTGTGGACGTCTCCATCTGCACAGCACAGCTCACATTGTCCACTTGAGGACTGAGTGACCACTGCCCTCTGTGCTGACCCCACCAGGCTGGGACTCAGCCACTACCCCAGGCCCCTCATCTCTGCTGCCCAGTTCTGTTCTTCCTGCTGTTCACTGTCACTGTGGGGTCTGCATCCTGCCTGTGGGCAGGAGTTCCTGTGTAATGCAGTTCCCATGTCTTATGTTTCTGTTTCCACTGCAGGTAAAGGGCCGCCAGCAAGCAAATCAGGTAGCTCAGGACCCAAAACAGGAAGCAAGATCCCCACCCCAAAGGGGGGCCTGAGTAAGAGTTCCAGCAGGACACACACGAGACGGTGACAGACAGACGCGTTCCTCCTCCATCCCCCCCATTCCCACCCATGTAGACACAGTGATGCAGTGCTCTGTCCTGCTGTGCCTCAGCTCGTGGCCTCGTGTCATGCTGTCCGCTATCAAGTGAACAGGGTGTGTGGGTCTGACCCAGAGCTAGCACCACAGCCCCGGCTTCCTCAGAGCACAGGCACAACAGTCAGTGTCCTCACCACAGAAAATTCACCCTGACGCATTTCTGTCCATTGCACATGGGAGACTGCACAGAGCTCGGCGTGGCTGTGGTGGCTGGAGGACAACGCTGAGCCTGCTGTGCCTTCTCTCCCATGAGCCTGTCTGCCAGGCCAGACCACCATGCTCTGTACTTATTAGCAAAAGAATAAAGGAAAGCAGAACTAAAGACCTGAGAGCCAGCCATGCTGAGAACCAGCACAGTCCTTGCTCGGTACTCCTTGAGCACACCTGTCCGTGACCCACAGGTGGGGCTACCTGGATGCCTTCCCTCAGTTTTGAAGGGGTTCTGGATGACTCCCTGCTTACACTGCTCACTGGATGCAGCCCACCTACAAGTCTTGGTTTTGTTTCTGGCACAAACAAGCATCTTCCACCTCCATCTAACCCACACAGACAAGTCCCACAGGCCCCGGGGACCCCGGGCCTCTTGTGTCAGGCCTGTCCTGTCCTGTGTGCAGCAGGGTCCACTTTCCTAAGCCATTTATAGCACGTCAGAACAGTGTGTCAAGTGGTGGCACAGGCCTCAGGAGACCGCTGACCACACACTTGTCCAGGCAGGAGGCCGTACCTCCCTCCCAGGAGCTCCAGTTAGACATGTCCACACAGCTGTGGGAAGGACATCCATATGAAAGCCCCCCTGGAAACACAGCATGTCCTCCTCCCTCCTGTCACTCCTGACTCCACCCTGGGCTGAAGGATGAGGTCTCCGGGACCTGCACTGTGCTCACTTGCTGAGGCTACACAGGAAAGGCTTTTCTTATACCACTCTGCAAGGTTTGGGATTGAGGAGATGAGTTTGAAATTAGGGCATAATTATTTTTAATTCCCAGCCCTAGGAAACAGAATCTATAAAATCTAATTGGTACTTGAGCAGGAAACACCCTGGATTACTGTAAATTCACCTGTTTTTTGCACATACCTCCTGGTGTGCTGGGCTCAGACCTAGTGAGGGAATACTCCATCTGAAACCTTGAGTGTGGGGAGAGAATATGAAACTTTAGCAAGCAAAGCTCAGGTACCAAAGGGTGACGGGACAGCCCTTCACACCTTAAAAAATGCTGGCCAGGCCATCCACAAACTTTAACCTTTAAGGTACAGACGAAGGAACTCTTCAAAACAGTAACGAAAAGCTAACCAAGAACATTTTGATCAAAACTTTCACACTGATGATTTCTCTCTGTTGTAACCTGAAGATCTTTGTGAAAACCCCTCATTGTACCCTGGGATGGTGGCTCACTCCTGGGCTCCCAGCACTTGGGAGGCTGAGGCAGGAGGCTCACCAAGTGTTCAAGGTCAGCCTGGGCTACAGAGGGAGCCTGTGGCTAAAAAAAACACGTAAAAAGAATCCTTCATTTTTAGTTCCCATCTTTTGCCTGTTACAGAATCATGAGCATCTGCTGAGATGACGGTGATTGGCAGCCGGTGAATGCCACACCTCTGTGCTTGATTCAGGGACCAAGAAAAAAGGACGGAACCTTTCACAGGCGCTAAGAGCCCGTGCCACTCAGAAGTAAATAACTAAACTTGGAACACTATAGCAACCTTCACTTACAAATATGTTTGTGGATATTTAATATTTATTTATATTATTTTCATAAAAGATTCTATTAAATCTAATTTAAAACAATTGTATCAAATTTGACACTAGAATACAAATGTAAGTACCTTTAATGAAAATTTGCAACTTTTTAATGTTTTAACATAGTTTTGTATTTGTCTTTATTTCAGGTACCGAATTATAAAGTATATTTTTATTGTTGTTAGGGCTTACATGCTAATTTGCCCTGAGTATATTAATCCAATAAAAGGATTACTTGGCATCTTGTCACTCAATTTCAAGGTCTTATATAATACATACATACATAAACATACGTATTTTTTTTAGATAGGGTTTCACTGTGCAGCCCTGGCTGGCCTGGAACCCTCTCTGTAGACCATACTGGCCTCACACTTTCAGAGACCCACCTGCTTCTGCCTCCTGAGTGTGGGATTAAAGGTGTGTGAACAAATGAAGGGTTCAGTGGGTAGACTGCTAGCCTACAATAAGGGAAGTCCAGGGTTGATCCCCAGTATCTCAGAAAACGGGCCGTGGTGCTATGTACCTGCACTCCCAGCATTTGAGAAGTGCAGGCAGCAGGATCAGAAGTTGAAGATCATCTTTTGGCTACACACATAACAAATTTGAGACCAGCCTGGGCTACATGAAAGCCTACCTCGAAAGAAAAAAAGAAAGAAAAAACAAATTGTAAATTACTCAGAAGTTGGTAGCTCAGCCCTAACGGTTGCTGAGGACAAAGGCTTGGGGGAGCTGGGTCTCTAAAACGCATCAAGATGAGTTTACTACCAAGTGTGCCACGTGCAGAATAGACTTCACCATGTCAGATGAATTCAGTGTCTTGGGATTTCTCTAACTACCTGACTTTTCAGTCACTGCATTCCTAAAACACATTGTCAAAATGAGTTTTTACGCTAGAAGCTAAAAGGTGTTAAGCTACATGCAGTAAGAATTCATCCAGTGAGATGAATTCACAACACTGTGGCTACTGTAGCTGCCTGGGGAGCCTCACACCTTACAGTCCCATGTTCCTGCTGCCCCCAAGGCCATTTGCCTTCTTTGCAGATGAGAAACGGGTCTAAGCTTCCATCTACTGATTGATTCATAAGTGTTTCATTTTGAAGTCCTAGAATGCATGCAAATACAGATTAACTTAAGGCATCACTTTTTGGGGTACAATTTTTATTTTAGATGGTCTTATTGTAGCCCAAGCTGACCTCAAACTCACCATGTACCCAAGGATGATCTCGAAATTCTGATCCTCCTGCCTCTATCTCACAAGTGCTAGCATTATAGACCTGGGCCACCATACCCACAGGGCATCATATGTAAATAGCAACTACTCTCAAATGTGCATGTTGGAGTGTAGCAGAGTCCCAGATGTCAGGCAGCACCTGAGAGACCTTTCCCAAGCCTGTTTGGAATAAGGTTTCTGGACCCTCTCCCAGGACCCAGAAGAGCTCCATCGCAGTCAGGCTGCAGTCAAAGGGCTGTGGGCTTCTGCAAAGGTGGAAATCTCCCAGGCCACCGTGGAGATCCAGGACCCAGCCTGACCTGCCAGTGAGGGAAAAGAGGCCACCTCGGGGAGTTCTTGGTGTCCTCTGGTGCTTCCTGACCTCAGGCGGGGTTTAATCCAAGAGCAGAGACCTGGAGGCTGCTCACAGGACTGCCAGAGCACGTGATCTGGAGCAGAACCAAAGCCACACTGCGACACCTTGTTGGTCACAGTTCATCCTGACAGAGCGTGGAGGGGCTCTGCAACACTTCACTATCTGCTAGTCCAGACTGAGACGTCTCTAGATTTGTAAGGCACTCTAGGTGTGTCTGTTGGGTGTTTCCAGAGAATTCACTAAGGGGATGAGACCGTTGAATGTGCACCACCCCTTGGGCTGTCCCTCCTCTTTCCTCCTTCCCCTTTTGTTCCCCATCTCCCTGGCTGCCAGAGGTGAGCAGCCTCTACTACCTGTTCCTAATACCATCTTCCTGCTTCACCACAGGCCCAGAGTCGCCAACCAACCATGAACTGTTCTAGAATTAAAGCTTTAAGCCATCTATCGGGTACAGCATTTGCCTAGCATGTGCAAGGCTCTGGCAGGGGGACGGGGCTTGGTGCTGTGATATGGCATCTTCTTGACCATAGCTATGCCATGTTGAAGTTTAGGCTGACTCTAGCCTCTGAAATTATCAGGCAGTTGGCCCAGGGTATGGGAACACACGTCAGCTGGACTCCAGTTGTCTTGGGAACAGGTCAGAGTGTTCCAGAGTGCACTTGCTAACTGCAGATTTATGGCTTCTGTAGGTTATGCTTGGCTTGCTTCTGCAAAATAGTAATTGTTGTTGAACAGAATAGAAATTGTTAAGGGGACACTCTACCTCTAAGCTTGGGAAGTTAAACTCTTCATCCCTGGTTATGGTTTCTCTGTTTAAAAGCTTACCCTGCAGATGGCTCGGGGCTACACTTCGGTTCCTACACCCTGTGTTGTTGTTGGCAAGCTAGTAAAAGACTTTCATTCAGCAAAACTTAGTGGTCTTCTCTGGTGAAGCACCCCACAACAGTACTTACACCATATAACAAAGAACTCAGGTCTTCAAAAGGGAGAATTTCTACATACCAAAAAAACAAGCACCTCCCTAGCCTAGTCTAAAATCTAGGAATAAAAACCAGACAATGGCTTCAGAATATACTACTGGGCTTTCCAACGCTACTGTAACAAGTTACGGCAAGCCTGTGGCTTCAAACAGTACAGATGCATCACCTGACAGTCCTGTTGAGCTGAGGTCTGGTTCAAGTGTCCCTGAACTACGATTAGTGCACCGTGCATGAGGTCCGTTCCTTTCTGATGGAGAATCCACTTCTGTGGTGTTTCGAATGAGAATGTCCCCCACAGGCTGCAAGTGTTTGTACACTTGGTCCCAGTATGTGCTGCTGTCTGTGGAAGGTCATGGAACCTTTAGGAGGTGTCACATTTCCAGCTGCTCTCTGCTTCCTGTGCCTGCTGGAAGCTGTGATTGGTTAACTTTCTACTCTGGCCACCTCTGGTACCATGCCTCCCCCGCCATTACGGACTCTAATCCTTCTGGAATCATACGTCAAATAAACTCTTCCTTTGATAAGCTGCCTTGGTCATGGTGTTTCATCACAGCAACAGGAAATAACTAACGCAACTTCCTTTGCCTCTTCCAGATCCCAGAGCTACACGTCTGTACTGAAATCAGACACACACAGGGCAGCATGGCCACAGAGTGAGGTTGCCACTCTGGTTTCTTCTTTCCCACCTCTCTCTTCCACTTTTACAGACTCTTGGCAGTATACTGGGCCTACCCACCTGCATGGATTGGGCTTGACATAACTGCAGCCATCCTGAGTCATAGCCACCACAACTGCCCCTGAACATTCTGTTTCCCTCACAGTGCCTCAGTTTCCTCCACAGCAAACCATAGATAAGACATTAGTCACAACTGAGACTCCATGGATGGACTCGTCTCTTCCATATTAAGAGATAACAAGTACATTCTAGCCATGATCAGTCACTTCTGTCCTATCCCATAAATATACACTTCTTTTTGTTCCAAACTGGGGATCCAACTGGTCTTGCTGCTACCCAATCCCATACTTCTGTCAGCAAGGCCCCAGGAAAGTGCCCTCAGCATAGTGCTGGATCTGCCCACCTCTCACCCAAGCTGATCTTCATATGTGGGAGCCAGACCAAAGTCACCCACAAGCATTGGTAAGCCAACAGATCACCCCCAAATGACAGTACTTATCAATGACTGCTGCACCCTAGAGCACAGTGGCCAATGGGAACCCAACTGGTATTCCTCGAGGGATGACAGCAATAACAACTTCAACATCTTTAGACCGACCACCTTACATACAGAACCAGAACACAGAAGGTTAGAGCATACCTTGGCCCAAGACTGCTTTCCCCACTTCTTCCCCTGGTACTGGGGACTGAGCCTGGGCCTCAATGTGTTCCATCAACTGAGCAGTACCCCCAGCCCAGGACTGCTTAATTATGTACACCTCTTGTGCCTGCCCCAATAATTCTGTTTGTCAGTACCCTGAAGACGGATGTGGAGGTCACTGGGACCATTCTGAGCAACTTCCCTTTCTCTGTTTTCACCATTACTCATCTCTTTGCCTTTTTTGGGGGGGGTCTTTTTGAGACAGGGTCTCCCCATAGCCCCAGCTGTCCTAGAACTATGTAGACCAGGCTGGCCTCAAACTCACAAAGATCTGCCTGCCTCTGCCTCCCAAGTGCTGGGATTAAAGGCATGCACCACTGTGCCTGGTCCCTCTTTGCCTTTTTTAAAAAATATTTTTTATTTTATGTGTATGAGTGTATTACCTGCACTTATATAAGTTCACTGTGTTGTGTGATGCCTGTGGAGGTAAGAAGAGGGCATTGGATTCCCCTGGATCTGGGTTGTTAGCCACCATGTGGGTGCTAGGAATCGAACCCAGGTCCTCTGTAAAAGCAGCCAGCGCTCTTAACCACTGAGCCATCTCTCCAGCCCCATCTTGTGTCTTTGTTTTTGAGACAGGGTCTCTTGTAGCCCAGGCTAGCCTCAAACTTGCTATAGTTCTGCTCCTGTCTCCACCTCCTGTTGCTGGGATTACAGGTGTATGCCACCATGACCCATGCATGCAGTGCTGGAGATCAAACCCCAGGCTTTCTGCATGCCAGGCAAGCACTCCACCAACAATGCTACATCCCTAGCCAGATTGTCTCTTTAACTGGCATCTTGCTAAGGGTGGCAGGCCTAGCTTGTTAGTGATAGGTAAAAAGTTGGCGGAGAACGAGCGAATGGAGGATGAGGCACCGAGGCACAGCTAAAACTCCATCAAAATAGCGTTTATTAGCAAAGGAACACATGGGACAGATTCCCTTCTGGGCAGGGAAAACGTCTGCAGGGGTCTTGAGCTGGGGTCTTTTTAAAAGGGAGGCTTCTGCTTCCTGCAGAAGGCGGGAAGATGTATTTTTTTTTTAAGTTGGAGGGTGGGGGAGTGGGAGAGCAGGACTTAAAAGCTGTCCTCTTTAGAGATCAAAGGAGAAGCCTGCTGTGTTGGCCAAACAGTGGAGAAAAGTCTGCTTCTCTTGACTTCAAAGACCAAGGTGCTTATCAGCTCGGTTCCCTTTTCTCAGGAACATGAGAAGTCCTTGGGATCCTGTAGGTGGGGGGCAGGGCTATCTGAACCTTAACAGTTAGTAACCCCTGAGCACGGGGCTTTTGCTCTTGTGAACCAAAGTTCCCAGAAAAACTGCACCTTGAAACTGAACATTCTCCAAAGGCCAATCAACTGATTACAACTTCAGTGATTGTGGAGACTTTGGAATGTTGCAGGTTCAGAGTCTAATTACCATTTATCTTGGGTCATCTTTAGCCTCCTAAACAGCCACTCCTTGCTCACCTCTGTTTCTGACTTAACATCCTGTGACTAACAGATTAAAAAACCTTTGGGAATGTATTAACTTAGCAGACCATCAGGTCCCACCAATCAAAAAGTTAAGAATGTCATCAGATAGCATCTGAGAACTATAGTAAAAATCCTCCCACCGCCCACACCCACTTTGCCATGATCTGCCTACCACATGTATCCACCAATGTAGTTTTTACATTTTATCTTAATTTTATGTCTACGAAGTGTATTATCTATGTATGGGTAAAACCACCCTTGTCCTGCAATGCCCACAAAGGTCAGAAGAGGGCACTGGATTTCCCTGGAACTGGAGTTACTAATGGTTGTTAGCCACCATGTGGGTGCTGGGAATTGAACCAGGGTCCTCGGTAAGCTCACTCAGTGCTCTTAATGCTGAGCCATCTCGCCAGCCCTCCACCAATGTATTTAAAATGTGTCTTGTTTTATGACTTTTTGTTACTACAGAAATCTCTTAACTGTTGTCACATTGGAACATGGAATTTGGGGTAACCTGAATCTGTGTTCCTGGCCATGGTCACTCAGATTTAGCTCCAGAATAAACTCTTACTCCCACTGAGGTGAGAGTTATCACGCTTTCCCAGGACACTTTAAAATTCCATTATTATCAGAAGCTGCTTGCCATGAGTAACACACTCCTTGTCAACAGGTCGGTCCATCCGACTAAGCACTCCACTAGGCACTGCTCCGGCCACTGCGCTGTTTCCTCGAGGGCTTCCAGCAAACCAGTGATAGGGCTCCCAGAGGACGCGCAGCTCCAGGAACGGCCCACTCACCGTCCCATAAGCCCCTGCGAGCACGCTCCCGGCGACCTCCTGCCCCGCTTCACTATGGCACGCGCTCCGACTCTCTAGCCACCCGAGCGCGCTCTCTATGTTCTCTTCCGGCTCAGACGGGAAGTGACGCACTACGCCCCGGAAGCGGCGCGAGGGCGGCGGCAGCGCGATGGCGGTCGTGGCGGCGGCCGAGGCCTGGCCGGAGCTGGAGCTGGCGGAGCGTGAGCGACGGCGCGAGCTGCTGCTGACCGGGCCCGGGCTGGAGGAGCGGGTGAAGGCGGCTGGCGGGCGGCTGCCTCCGCGGCTCTTCACGCTGCCGCTGTTGCACTACCTGGAGGTGAGCGGCTGCAGCAGCCTGCGCGCCCCGGGGCCGGGCCTGGCGCAGGGCCTGCCGCAGCTGCACAGCCTGGTGCTGAGGCGCAACGCGCTGGGGCCCGGCCTGAGCCCCGAGCTGGGGCCGCTGCCCGCGCTGCGCGTGCTTGACCTCTCAGGCAACGTGCTGGAGGCGCTGCCGCCCGGCCAGGGCCTGGGCCCCGCCGAGCCGCCCGGCCTCCCGCAGCTGCAGAGCCTCAACCTCAGCGGCAACCGGCTGCGCCAGCTGCCCGCCGACCTGGCGCGCTGCGCCCCGCGCCTGCAGAGCCTCAATCTCACCGGCAACTGCCTGGACGCCTTCCCCGCCGAGCTCTTCCGGCCGGGAGCGCTACCCCTGCTCAGCGAGCTGGCGGCCGCCGACAACTGCCTGCGGGAGCTCAGCCCCGACATCGCGCACCTGGTCTCGCTCAAGGTCAGCGGGGGCCACGGGACAGGGAGGGAGCCCCGCTGTCGCTGCAGGGCCCTGGGCCAGCGCGGTCCTGCTGGGCCGCCCATCCCAGCTCCTCTCCCCGACCGACCAGCGCGCTCAGGGGTCTCTGAACCAGTGACTGTCTTGAAAGGATTACCACGCTTGGGCTTCTCTATTGCTGTAAAGGCCAAGGGTAGGGACCAGGTCTCTGTTTTTTGAGTGTATGTAATTGTACCTGGGCCTGCACGTGGTGGGACACGCAGACAAGGCACAAACATGGGAGAGAACTGGAATTTGCGTCTTGCGAAGTCCTGAGGCCTGCGTAATGTTAGACCTCATCCTAACCCTGGGCTTCAGGGAGCGTGTGGTGGTTCCTGACAAAAAACCGAAGGGCTTGCCCAAAGCTAACAGCAGGCGCTTAGAGGCTTTCTCGACACTCCAGGGTGTAAGAGGCTGGTTTCTTGTCCACTGTGTATTCCCGGGTTCCTATCTTGCACGCCCCCACCCCAGCTGACCCCCAGATCTATTGAGCTGGGGATGAGAGAGCAGAAGGTATCGAGCTGCGGATCTGTGCTCTTTGCCGCCCCACTGTGCATTCAGCCCTGACAGCAGCTCTGCATTTCTTCCTCCTGCTCATCCTTGAGTTTATGCAGACATTTCCTAATAAAAGCTATACCGGGGGCTGGAGAGATGGTTCAGTTGTTAAGAGCACTGACTGCTCTTTCAGAGGACCCGGCTTCGATTCCCAGCACCCACATGGCGGCTGGGAACCGTCCTTAACTCCAGTTCCCAGGGGAATCTGAAGCCCTCTTTTGACCTCCGCAGCATGTGCACTCACACATGCAGGCAAAACACTGACACACATAAAATAAATTTAAAAAGGTGTACAGGCTCAGCTGGGTTGGCATGGAAAGTGGTTCCTGAGACACCACACTTCATTTTGCAAATGTCATTTGTTACGTAAAGACTCACCTACTGTACGCATTGACTGAGAGCAAGAGCAAGTCTGTAGTAGGCCAGGCACTCTGCAAAATAATGTCTGTTCCTGGTATTTCCTGGAAGAGGCTACAGATTGTGAGTCCCTGGGGTACTTTGGGACTCTAGGCCCAGACACCCCTTTATGGCTTAGGTATGTGTGACGCTGGATGTGCTTCACTGTTCTGCCTTCCCAGTGGTAGATGCTCTGGTTTCCGAGGAGTCTGATGAGCCAGGCGTGTGCCTTATTAGAACATGGCACCTTGTGCTGTGTAACGCACACAGTCACATGCCTGTTCTGGATCTGGGGACTGATTGGGTTGCCCTTAACCGCTGGTTACCTCAGTGACTGTTCAGCTGCCTCTGGGCTTGGCTGGGCTGGGGTGTCTGCTGTCTGCCTGACATCTTGGGACCTCTCCCCCTCCTCACCTGGTATCGCGCAGCTCCTCAGCACAAACGCAGGGGTGGCCAGGCCTTATGGCTTAGCCATGGAACCAGCCTCTTGCCATTAAACAGCATTCTCCTGATTGAGAAAGCAAATATAGTCCAGGCAAGGATGTGGACACCGGGAGGCTGCTTGACTAGGGCCAGAGCAACAGCACTAAAGGCCTCTGTGCACTCATGACACAGAAAAGGCGCAAGTGCAGGTACCACGACCCAGCGCCAGGACCACTGCCCAGGGTCTGCCACCAGGCCAGGCCTTGCACCATCTTTCCCAAGGGCCACGACCAGGGCCACAGTCCAGACCAGCTCCACATAGGGCTGCCCACGGCCTAGTCCGGGACGGTCAGCAGCAAGGCCCTTGTCTCTTTGCTGCTGAGGCACTTGCTGTTCCGCTGTCCTTTGAGCCTTGCTGCCTCTGCCTCTAGGGTCTGGATTCATCCTCTAGCCTTGGACCTGTGTAGCTTGGCTTCCCTGAGCCTGGGGCAGTGTCCAGTCTCTCTCTTTAGAGACTCAGGTCTGCCTGCCTCTAGGGTCTGGATTCATCCTCTAGCCTTGGACCTGTGTAGCTTGGTTTCCCTGAGCCTGGGGCAGTGTCCAGTCTCTCTCTTTAGAGACTCAGATCTGTTGGTGGGCGGACGGAGTGAGTGAAGACAAAGGACTCAACCCTCCGATGGAGGAGAGTGATCATTTTCAAAGTTCCTTATATTGAGATTTAGAGATTTTTATTTCATCCTTAGAAGAGGAGGTCTCTGTCTCACTAGTCATCTTAATTGACTTAACCTGAGGACTAGCCTCAAGCTCCGCATATAAAATCTTAAGATCTTCTTCTAATTCTGGAGATGACTCTTCAATAGCCTCTAAAGGCATTTAAGGTTAGGGCAGGGTCAGTGGTAAGTCATCAGCGGAGAGATACCCCCGGCCATTTTGTCCTTTCTTAACATCTCTCCTTTGTCTTTAAAAAGTTCACTATCAGAGAGTCCATTATCTGTTCGAAGAGGCTATAAAATATTAAAAATTCAAAGAGACCACACAGAAATGAGAATTATTGCCCCTTGCTGATGAGCCCTTTTTTTTTTGTCTTTTTGAGACAGGGTCTCCCTGTGGCCCCAGCTGTCCTGGATCTCACTATGTAGACCAGGCTGGCCTTGAACTCACAGAGATCCACCTGCCTCTGCCTCCCGAGTGCTGGGATTAAAGGTGTGCACCACCACGCCTGGCCTAAAAGTCATCTTTTACTCCCCCTCCTTTCACAGGGGCGTTTAACAACCAGATGTGTCACTCATCCAGTGACTGGGAATTTCCCATTTATTTTACTTTTAAATTCCTTACTTACTTTGCCACTGTTCTGAAAGTTTTGCCCTCCTCCGAGCATACTGTTTCCCTTTCCGTTCTGCTGCCTCAACTTGAAGCACAGTCACCTTGAATTATTTTCACCACATTCCTCAAGCCCCACGTTCAGGCGCCAGCTGTGGAGACTCAGGTCTGCTGGTGGGCAGATGGGATGAGTGAGGGCAAAGGGCTCAACCCTCTGACGGAGGAGAGCAGGGTTAGTGCTTTAGCAGTGCTCTTCTGTGCGCAACTACAGTTACAAGCTTGGTGTTTGTGCCAGAATACATGAAAGAGTTAGTTTCACAAGGAACAAAACACATTCTACAGGTTTACATTTAAGGTTAATCACTAGGCTACAAAGGGTATATTGGTTTCTCACACAGTCTGTAGATTTTAACAATTTCCAGGAAGGCAAGTCAGCCGGTGATTCCATTTAACACCGAACAGTCACCCTATGTTTTGGAGTACCGTGACTTAGACAGATGTTTTCCTCTGATCTGTGACTAGGGCGGCGTTCTGCCAAGCCCAACATCTTTGTTTTCAAGAACTGCCCGGACCTCGTCCCTGACCACCCTTAACCTCTTCCTTGTTCAGCGTTCTGTGGCCTGTTAGGACTTACTGTGCCAGTAAGCCAAGGAGGTGTATGTGGTGTCGTTCTGCCTGCATCTGCAGTGGCTGTATACCCAGGCCTGTGGTGCTGTTTACTGAGACAGCTGAACTGCCCGGGATAGCACCCCATCATCAGACACCCCTGTGGGGAGCCCACCCTGGCCCCAGGACTCCTCAGACCTGTCTCTGACAAGAGAAACTGAAGAAAGCAAATCCTCCTGAGCTCTGAATCTCAGTTGTAGCCAGAAGTGGCCAGGCTCACTTGGGCCTGGCTGTTGACAGGGTGCCATGAGGTTGAGGGGTCCCTGACACATCTCCCACTGACACCACCTCATGTCACCCTTGCTGCTATGCATGCAGTTAGGATCCCTTTCCCAGTAGGCATTCCATGCAGAGGGGACGCCCCTACTTACTGCTGTCTACTGGCATGGGAGCTGGTGTTCCACAGGAAAGGTGAGCATCAGCTGCTCAGCTCGTCCTGCCAGTGTCCAGAGCCTCCAACCACAGCCACCCGCAGCACACCCTGGGCACTTGAGGTCAGCACTCAGCGCCTGCCCTGTCTTTCCTGCTAACCCTCCATCTCCAGGAAGCCCAGGGGCTCCTGCTTCCCCCCAGGGCTAACCTGAAACCCTCAGCGAGGCTGCTGTTTGGGGCACCAAGAGCTGGCCAAGGGTGATTTGGTAGTGAGGACCTGCTGTTCTCTTGGCAGATGCCACCTCTCTGAGGACGACTTTCCACCTGTGGCACATGCCGCGGGTTGGCTGCTGTCTGCTCGTTCTTCCCCCTGTTCTGTTCCCACAGGGCCCCCAGCAGGTCCTGAGCTGGAATTCAGGCTGCTGTTCCGTGCTCTGACCTGCCCTTACCTGGTAGTGGCTGTCCCTGAAAGATGCCCCTTCCTTAGCATGGCTGCTGGCTTGAGGTTTCTCTGATAGGTGCTTCTGAGGCCGCGCTGGCAGTCAGTCCTGTCAATGTCCACCTCCCTCACTCCCCCGGTGTCTGCTGCCCTCCTGGGTCTTAAGTAACTTGCTTTTCATTAGTGGAAGCAGAAACAGTCCCTTCAGCCCAGAAGTTTGACCCCGTGGGTTCTTGGCCATTTTCACAAAGCACAGAAGCTGTAGAGAGATTGTTGCAAGCTGACTTTCAAACAGTGACCTGCACCCAGGTTCTCAGGCCTCTAGGGGCCAGTTCCTCTAGACTGGTGATCTCAGCTTGCTCTGTGTGTAAGCCCGAGAGGCCTGGCTCAGACCCAGCTTGGCTCCCAGCTCTGCCGCAGTGGCCCTCGGAGCAATACTTGGGGAGCAAGCCAGGGCCAGGGGGATAGGCTCTGCCTGCACTGGGAGTAGGCCCAAGGAGGGCTGGCGGCTGAGCCATCGATGCAGAAGCCCCACCCACCTAGGCTCCCTGAAAAGGCTCGGGAGAGGCACAGGGGACAGGTTGGACGTCCCCATCCCCCAAGTCTAAAATGCTTCAGGCTGGCTTTCCGGGTACAGTGTGAAATCCTACACGTTACATTCTGGTGCAGTCGAATTCAGGCACACTGAAACATTGTGTGCTGGGTAGCTGTAGTTGTTAACTTGACACACCTGGTTACAGGGAACCGCAATTGAGGGATTTCCTGCATTGGAGTGACTTACAACCAAGTCTGTGGGGGCATTTTATTGATTGTTGAGTGATGTGGGAGGATGCAGCCCACTGGATGGTGCCACCCCTGGGCAGGTGGTTTTGTATTGTATAAGAAAGCAGGTTGAGGGGCTGGAGAGATGGCTCAGTGGTTAAGAGCACTGGTTGTTCTTGGAGAAGACCCGAGTTGCCATCCCAGCACCCACATGGCAACTAACAGCTGTCCGCAACTCCAGTCCCAGGGGATCCAACAGCCGCTTCTGTCCTCCGTGAGCGTTGCATGACATGGGTGCACTTACCTACATGCAGGCAATACATTCATACACATAAAATAAAAATAATAACAATTTTTTTTAATTAAAAAAAAAAAGAAAGCAGGTTCAGCGTGGGCCAGGGAAGCAAGCCAGGAGGCAGCGTTCCTCCGTGGTCTGTGCTCCAGGTTCCTGCCCTGGCTTCCCTTGATGATGGACTGTGCTGTAAGTCAAACCCTCTCTTCCCCAAGTTGGTTTTGGTCAGAGTTTTTACCACAGCAGTTGAAGGTGGACTAGAGCACATTGTCTGTGTTTACTTCCATGCTGTGTGTAGGTGTAGGAAACATGGTTGAACCTTGTGTAAAAACCTAGGTTTCACCCCCAAGATACTGATTACACACACAGCTGCTGTACATTCTAGGAAAAAATCTTAATCTGAAACACTTGTAGTTCCAAGTGTGTTGGTTAAGGGGTCCCGAACCCACCTGTCATAGGGACTGGGCCATTCAGATTCGCACTGCCCAAAGTGGTGCTCTAGGTGACATCTTCCCCCTAGAAGGCACTGGCATGTGTGGCCAGCCCTGCGTTTTTACCCAGCAGGCCCTACTCCACCTGGCCTCCTCTCGGGCCTGCATCCCTCTTGTGCTCTGCACTTTAGCCTTTAGGCTGTCCCCTGCCTCCTGGGTTTCAGTGCTGCCTGGGTGGCCTGTCCAGGGCCCCATCTCTGAGCTGAGCTGTGTCACCCCCTTGCCGCTCTGGCCTCCAACACTGAGCAGCCTGGCGACTGGAGCCAGACAGATCCTTTGTCACTGGCTTCATACCTGGAACTGAGAAGTTCACCATCCTCTCAACCGCACCCTCGTCCCTGAGCCAGACAGATCCTTTGTAACTGGCTTCATACCTGGAACTGAGAAGTTCACCATCCTCTCAACCGCACCCTCGTCCCTGCATCGTCCACCTCCCATCTCCACTCCCCGTCCCATGGTCCCGGGACCTGGCCGCCACTGGCTACGTAAGTTCACCATCCTCTCAACCGCACCCTCGTCCCTGCATCGTCCACCTCCCACCTCCACTCCCCGTCCCATGGTCCCGGGACCTGGCCGCCACTGGCTACGAGCGGATGCTTACTGCAGGGCACTGCACAGCTGTAGTTTCTGGCTGCAGAGATGAGGTGTCACATCCATGCTAACTGTAGCCTTCTCCCAGCATCAGAGCAAAACACAAGGCCGGCCAGAGTCCCCACTCTCCCTGAGGAAGAAGCAGTTAGTTACCAAGACTGCTTCGAGCGTTGCATGACATGGGTGCACTTACCTACATGCAGGCAATACATTCATACACATAAAATAAAAATAATAACAATTTTTTTTAATTAAAAAAAAAAAGAAAGCAGGTTCAGCGTGGGCCAGGGAAGCAAGCCAGGAGGCAGCGTTCCTCCGTGGTCTGTGCTCCAGGTTCCTGCCCTGGCTTCCCTTGATGATGGACTGTGCTGTAAGTCAAACCCTCTCTTCCCCAAGTTGGTTTTGGTCAGAGTTTTTACCACAGCAGTTGAAGGTGGACTAGAGCACATTGTCTGTGTTTACTTCCATGCTGTGTGTAGGTGTAGGAAACATGGTTGAACCTTGTGTAAAAACCTAGGTTTCACCCCCAAGATACTGATTACACACACAGCTGCTGTACATTCTAGGAAAAAATCTTAATCTGAAACACTTGTAGTTCCAAGTGTGTTGGTTAAGGGGTCCCGAACCCACCTGTCATAGGGACTGGGCCATTCAGATTCGCACTGCCCAAAGTGGTGCTCTAGGTGACATCTTCCCCCTAGAAGGCACTGGCATGTGTGGCCAGCCCTGCGTTTTTACCCAGCAGGCCCTACTCCACCTGGCCTCCTCTCGGGCCTGCATCCCTCTTGTGCTCTGCACTTTAGCCTTTAGGCTGTCCCCTGCCTCCTGGGTTTCAGTGCTGCCTGGGTGGCCTGTCCAGGGCCCCATCTCTGAGCTGAGCTGTGTCACCCCCTTGCCGCTCTGGCCTCCAACACTGAGCAGCCTGGCGACTGGAGCCAGACAGATCCTTTGTCACTGGCTTCATACCTGGAACTGAGAAGTTCACCATCCTCTCAACCGCACCCTCGTCCCTGCATCGTCCACCTCCCATCTCCACTCCCCGTCCCATGGTCCCGGGACCTGGCCGCCACTGGCTACGTGCGGATGCTTACTGCAGGGCACTGCACAGCTGTAGTTTCTGGCTGCAGAGATGAGGTGTCACATCCATGCTAACTGTAGCCTTCTCCCAGCATCAGAGCAAAACACAAGGCCGGCCAGAGTCCCCACTCTCCCTGAGGAAGAAGCAGTTAGTTACCAAGACTGCTTCCAGACCAGGCTGGGGGCAGGGCACCTGTCAGCAGAGCAGCACAGGGCAGATGTGGCCCCTTTACCACCTGCAGTAAAGCATTGCCCTCTGAGCCTAACAGCTGTTACATCAGAGCATCTGTGACTGTGCTGGAGAGGTGGTTCAGCGGTTAGAGCACTGACTGCTCTTGCAGAGGACCCGGTTCAGTTCCCAGCACCCACATGGCAGCTAACAACCATCTGTAACTCCAGTTTCAGGGATCCAACACCCTCTTCTGACCTCCGTGGACATTGTACAACATGAGCTCACTTAAATATATGTAGGCATTACACTCATACACATTAAATAAATGTTTTTTAAAAGATGGGACTTGTCAGCAGTTGGTTTCCTTACAGAAGGAGGCTGTGGGGAGTGTCACTGATACACTCTCACCTGATCAGTTTCTCTCCTGCTCGCCCAGCTGTTTGTATGTAGTTGTGCCCTAGTTGCCTGTGCTTGTGTGACCTGGGGAGGTGCTGACATGTATAGACTGGAGGGAAGCTGATGGTTTCCCCAGGGAAGAACTTCTCCGTACCTGACACACCCCACCCAGGCTCCTGGAGTGGGAGGCCTGCATACTTCTCAGTGTTCAGACCAGTAGCCTCTGCACTGACAGCGACTGGAGGTGCTTTCCTGTGGACTGTGGGGTGTCCTGGATGTCTGGCGTGGACACAGTGTCCCTGCCACTATGGATGTGACAACTCATCTCCCCAGTCCATCCTCCTGAGAGAACAGTGCCAGGCAGTGTGCGGTTGGGGTATCGTGCTTAGTGTGGGGAGAGGGCTTTGCTGTAGTTCTTCTGTTTGTGTTCATTAAGTTCAAAGAGCTAGCTAGGCCCCCTTTGGGGAACTTGCTTCAGATGGGAAGGGGTCCTGGTTTGTCCCTGAAGTGAGCATGTGTTTGGTACTCCAGCACCCCTCCTGGTTACCTCTGTCCTCTAGCCTGGTGGCTGGTCTGAGAGTTGCTGTAGTTATGTGACTGACATGTCGTGTCAAACTCCTTGGTAGTGGTAGGGCGTTATAGCCATGCAGATAACTCCTCCATCATGTGGCTTCTGGGATGGCTCGAGGTAGGGGAGCTGCCAGTCCTGACCAGTCTCACTTTCTCATTCCAGACACTGGACCTCTCCAACAACCAGCTGAGCGAGATCCCCGCTGAGCTGGCGGACTGCCCCAAGCTCAAGGAGATCAACTTCCGAGGGAACAAGCTTCGAGACAGGCGTCTGGAGAAGATGGTCAGTGGCTGCCAGACCAGGTCCATCCTGGAGTACCTGCGTGCCGGTGGCCGTGGTGGTCGGAGCAAGGGCCGGGCAGAGGGCTCCGAGAAGGAGGACAGGAAGAAGAGGCGGGAGCGGAAGCAGCGTCGGGAGAGTGGCGAGGGGGAGGAGGAGGTGGGCGTGGCCAAGCTGATGCTCAGGGTCCTGCACGTCTCTGAGAACCCCACGCCCCTGACAGTCAGGGTGAGCCCGGAGGTCAGGGACGTGCGCCCGTACATCGTGGGGGCCGTCGTGAGAGGCATGGACCTGCAGCCAGGAAACGCACTCAGGCGTTTCCTCACCACCCAGGTGGGTATACGGCAGACGGTCCTGGGGGGTGTATGCTGGGGGTGGCAGTGGTCAGTTCAGGGACAGGTAGTGCCAAGTGGGGCTGAGTGGTCTGCATGCCTCAGTTTCCTCTCTGCTTCCGTGGAAGAGTAGCAGGCCCTGGCTCCATGTGGGAGGCCTGTTGCCCACCCCCAGCAGGAGCTGCAGCCCTTGGCTCCTCCACAGCCTACCCAGCTTGTCCTAGTTCCTGGACATAGCTTGATTACTCTGAAGATGGAGCTCCTTGAGGTGTTTGTGATTTGGAGGCATCTTGTCTCTTCTTGGCCTTACCTTCCACCTGAGTCCTTGGGTTCTGGCTGGACTGACTTCCTGATGTGTGGCTCACTTACCTCTGCCTCACTGGGAGAGTAGAAAGCACAGCTTTGCATGTTGCCCAGCAGAGGCAAGTGCAACTTTATGCAAGGAAGGCCAGGGTTGCCATGCAAGCTCCCTTGGGAGATCAGGAAGGAAGCCAGCAGCATCCCCAGCCAGGCCAGGTCTGGCCCAGATCTGCCTGCAGTCCGGCAGAGAAAGTTTCTGTGATGACTTTTCTTCAAGTTCTAGTTCTAGATTGAGTTCTTTGAAATCCCAGACTGTTCTAGAATTAGAGAGGAGAGGGGCTGCTCCAAACAGACGAGAGATGAGCCAGTGATGACTCCACAAAATAAATGTGGTTGGGAGGCAGGAAGGGGCCACTTCTGATGATGAGGAAGCAGCCTGGGAGGCACTGCAGGCTGCCGGGGGTCCCTGAAGACACCTCCCTGGAGCCTGCGCCTGTCCTCTTGTGTTATAGACGAAGCTCCACGATGACCTCTGCGAGAAAAGGACGGCAGCAACCATTGCGACCCATGACCTCCAGGCAGTTCGAGGGCCCCTGCTGTATGCGGCCCGGCCACCCGAGGACCTCAAGGTACTCACTGCTCTGTCCCATCCTGTCTGTGTCTGTGCTTTTCCTTATGAGATGCGGGCTGAAGGGCACAGGCAGCTTGGTCTGGTACTTTCCCAGCAAGTGCCTAAGGGAAGTGGTTTCCACCCTCCTCTGGGGCACAGGGCCTAGCCGTCAGATACCTGTTATGGGGGCCAGGGCGCGGCCTGCTTCCTTTGCGCACCAGCCATTTATTTGAAACAGGATCTCACTGTGTAGCCCTGGCTGACCTTGCACACAAAGATTCACCTGCTTCTGCCTTCCACTTAACCACCACACACACCTAGCTTGCTCACCAATTTTTAATATTTTGTTATTTTTATTTTACATACATGAGTGTTTTGCCTGCACGTATGCAAGTTCTATGTCGTGCACTGCCCACGGAGATCAGAAGAGAGAGCTGGATCCACTGGAACTGGAGTTACAGAGAGTTGTTAGTTGCCATGTGGGTGCTGGGAACTAAGAGTAGTCAGTGCTCTCAACTGCTGAGCCATCTCTCTAGCCCTACTCACCGTTTTTTTGTTTTGGTTTTTGGTTTTTGTTTTGTTTTTTGTTTTTTTTTGTCTTTTTGGGGGTTTTTTGGTCTTTTTGAGACAGGGTCTCCCTATACTCCCAGCTGGCCTGGAACTCACAGAGATCCACCAGCCTGTGCCTCAAGTGCTGGGATCAAAGACGTGCCACCACGCCCAGCTGCCACTCACCAACTCTTACCAGAGATTTTGGCTTAAGCTCTACTTACACAATGCCTGTGGTGGGGTAGCCTGTAGTGTGAACTGTGACTAGCTCCAGGCGGCTGATTACCAAGCTTCAGTTGAGCATAGAGGCCCAGGGGAAAGGACTCGGATGCCAGCCACTCATCTGACTGGACCAGCTCAAGCAGCTAAGCCCTGTGTCTTTCAGCTTCTGAGCAGTCGTAGGCTTTTAGAAATTCTCCACTAGCCAGGTTTATGGTGGAGCCCAGCTTAGGAAAGCTGTGAGCAATGGGCCCTCTGTCTCCTGAGGGGCTCTGGAAATGCAGCCCGCGTCTTGTGATCACGTGGAGTGGGACTGGCAGGCTTGGGCCTCAGTCTCTTGCTACCAGTTCTGGAGATTGGTGGTCCATTCAATCAGCTGGAGGTTATGGTAGTGCTGAGAGGCGGGCTCAGTGAGCTGGGGGGTTGGGTCCCAGCAGGCTCTGTGGGCTCCTCCGACAGATCGTGCCCTTGGGCCGCAGAGAAGCCAAGGCCAAGGAGCTGGTGCGGCAGCTGCAGCTGGAGGCCGAGGAGCAGAGGAAGCAGAAGAAGAGGCAGAGCGTCTCGGGGCTGCACAGGTGGGTCAGCTGGCATGTCCTCAACCACAGACCACCTCCACTCCAGCCAGAGCCCCTGTACTGGTGGTGGTCTGGGGAGGAAATCTCCTCACCCTCTTCAAAGGGAGAAAGGCTACTGCTTAACCATTTTTTAAAGCAATGACTTGTTGTATCCCACGTTTCAAAGCCTGGGCGTTGCTACACAGATCACAATCGTAGGTCAGAACTACAGCACATTCATGGGGTGATTCTCCAGACTGGCCCCAGAAGGGCCCATGCTCTGTGGGGAGAGGATCCTGCTCCAGGGAGCCCGCAGGTTATAGGAGTGGAAGTGCGATCTGATGTGGAGCAGCAGCCAGTCAGACCTGTGCCCTCTGTTCAGGCCCCCGGGTCTCTGGGCTGGGGTCGGCCTAGGACTGGAAATAGCTCTGGTGCCGTGTCTGTGTACACTTATGCCTTGACGTTGTGCCGGGTGTGTCTGCAGAGCTGTGCCCTGCTCAGCCCTGCCAGTAGCGTGTGCTGGCAACGTGCCTGTTAACCTGGATGTATTCCCCAGATACCTCCACTTACTGGACGGAAAGGAAAACTACCCTTGTCTTGTGGATGCAGATGGAGATGTGATTTCCTTCCCACCCATAACCAACAGTGAAAAGACAAAGGTAGGCAGCATCTGAAATGTGGCCACGCCCTCCTGGCTGTCCCCCACCAGGTCCCTGCTTGCTAGTGGTAGAAACCGGGTGGGCTCCCCAGCACTGTGCTCTGCATGTCCCCCTCCTCCACAAGTCATGGTGGTGCTGGACTCATATGGTGCTTGCTACAAGCTCTTGGTTTTCATGTGTTTTGAGACAGGGTCCTGTGTGGCCCAGGCTGACCTTGAACTTGATACAGAAGCTGAGAATGAACCTTGAACTTGTGATCCTCCTGCCTCCACCTCCAGTGCTAGGATTACAGGTGTGCATCACCATGTTGGGTTTATGCCGCACTGGAGATGGAACCCAGGGCTTCATGCACACTAGGCAAGCCGAGCCACGTCCCCAGCCCTGTGCAACCCCTTACAGATTTTCCTTTTGAATAGCTTGCAGTAGCTGCTGTCAGCTGCAGATAACCTTATTCTTCCATGAAATCTAACTTTTTTAAGATTAAGAAAACAACATGTAACCTGTTCTTGGAGGTAACGGGTGCCACCAGCCTGCAGATGTGCAAAGACATCATGGACACCCTCATTCTGGTGAGTGGCCCAGAGTCTGGGGATCCCAGCCACCGCCTGCATGGCAGCTGCTTGCTCCCTGGGGTTACCCCAGCCCACTTCCCTGGTCCCTTCTCATCTCTCTGTTCTAAAGATTGTTTTCATTGGCAGAAAATGGTAGAGCTGAACCAAAGCACTTCGGAAAACAGAGGGTCGCTCTCCGACTCGGAGGCCGATGCAGTTTCTGGACTCTCTGATCCCAACATGAATCTGAGTGCTGGGAAAGATGGACAGTGCCCTCTGGTGGTGGAGCAGGTCCGGGTGGTGGACCTGGAGGGGAGCTTGAAGGTGGTGTATCCATCCAAGGCTGACCTGGCCACGGCCCCTCCCCATGTGACTGTGGTTCGCTGACTGTCCGCGTGCTGACCTCCGTGCTAGCAGACAGGCTGTGGCTCGACGTGGGTGAACCTGTGGTGGTCTCCGTGGTGGTGTTAAGTTATTTCGTTCTTTTCTCCTGGGTATTTTAAGTTGTCTGCTTTTTTCCCAGGTGACTGTTGTAAAGTGACGTTGTGTTGTCCTTACAATACTGCCGTGATTTTACTGTTTCATGAAATTACTCACATGCCAAAATAACTGTCCAAATTGTTCTGAATCATGTAGCCACGTGGCAGATAACTTTTAGGGAAGGCCCTGAGCGTGGTGTGAAAATGCAGATGTAAATTCAGGTTAAACGGCAGGCATTTCGTTTAGTGGTGGCTATTTTTCTGCAATGTGTAGATTGTTACTTTCCTAGCACGTTGCTGTTGGAATGCTTGCTGGCCTTCCAGGCGAGCTGCCTGGCCTGTGGGCAGGGGTAGCACCTGCCTCCCATAGCTGGGTCAAGGGGCAGGGGCAGGAATGACTGGCCATCCTTGGTACATCAGCTACGAGCACAGCAGGGATCCCTGCCCAACCCAGACACACAGATTTCTGTGGGTGAACAGGAATGCTGGTCTGTGGACTGTCAGCTAGTGACTAGGGAAGGCGTGTCTCACACATGACCCCGGTCCTCTGTATTGTGTCCCATTACATGCCTTGTGTCTTTGTGTGTTGGTTTCTGTGCCCAGCACATGCCTTCCATCCCTGAAATAACAGTTCTTGGTCCTAAGAACCTGGCCAGCTGCAGAGGGCCTTGATGGCCCCGTGCCTTAACATCTGCTTACAGAAGACCAGACTCAGCAGCCTTTGGTCGACTTTTACCTCAAGGGACAGTTAACAGTTGCTCACGCTTCCCTTTGGTAGCCATGGCAGAGGATCGCCTACTCTGTGACCCCACCAGATGGAGTGAGGATCACGCTGCCCTGGCCCTCCTGAGGCTCAGGAGGTCTTGTCACCTTGACCCCACCAGATGGAGTGAGCGTCACACTGCCCTGGTCCCCCTGAGGCTCAGGTCTTGTCACCTTGACCCCACCAGATGGAGTGAGGGTCATGCTGCCCTGGCCCCCCTGAGGCTTGGGAGGTCTTGTCACCTTGACCCCACCAGATGGAGTGAGGGTCACGCTGCCCTGGCCCCACTGAGGCTCGGGAGGTCTTGTCACCTTCTGCCCCAGCTGCTGCTGTTTTTCTCGGTCACAGCCCAAGTGTGTGTGAGATTGAGATCTAGGAGTTGTTTTAACAGAAACAGGCCTTCGATGTTCTAGTAAACTAATAAAAACCTTGGTAGCGACATCTCCCAACGTTCAGCAGCCTTCCTACCTTGTCTCCAGAGGCCAGTACTTTGGTGCTGCAGTCTGTTCTAATCCCACAAGGGCTCACATGTGAGAAGTTTGTCCCTGCATTACCAAGCCTTGAACCCCCACTAGGAGGAACATAGCCTTGGGGTCATGAAGTGAGACTAGAGCCTGGGGTTCACTGAGGCAGCTCAGGTGTCAGCCCTGGGCCCCAAGAGCACCCCGGGCTTCTGCAGCATTCTGTGCAGAGTACTAGCCAGAGCTCCAGGCTGGGGAATGGATGATTACAGCAGGAATGAACTGGGGACACCTTTGGGGTACAGGGAGTGGCCAGGTGGAGCAGACCCCACTGTCAGCCCAGGAGTGCAGGACTACCTGGAGAGGCCTGTTTGGTGCCCTTTGCTCTGCTCCTCCCTGTCCCACCTCCCTGCTGTGCTCTACATCGCTGTCCAGTCTCACACCTCCTGCCCCAAGAGTTACCAGGCCAGGGTACCCTGTTCCCACTGCTCTGTGCCTGTCTCTGCTCCTGTCACACCAAGCCTTGAGAGGTCCTGCCCTGGGACCTCCAGTGCCTGTCCTTCAGTGACTCGGGGGTGGGGGGCACTCATCCGGCTTTCCTGCCCCAGTTTGGGGTCAAGAGTGGGGGAACATAAGTGTATCTTGGATTTAAGGCCTAGACTTTAAGCACAAGCTAACAGCAGCCCGGTGATCCAGGCACAGACTCAACCAACCCAGGCTTTCACACAAGGATCACTAAAGCCCAGGACGGCTCCAACTGGGAGCCTCTTGAGAATGATAGGTCAGCCTGGCCAAGCCCCCCAACTTGTCAGTGTAGTAGGGGCAGAAGGGAAGGGGTCCCCAGCCTGGGAGTAATAGGGGTTCAGCCTTGGTAGTTTCTAGCAATTACCTGCAACCCTGGGACAGTTTTATAGCCCACTAGGGTCAAGGTGTGGCTCTGGTCTCAGTAGGCCACCAAAGAGAGGGGACCAAAGTCCCAACACAGCTGCCATACCTGCTAAGTATCCAAGGCCTTGTCCTCACATGGTCCAATAAGGAGGGAGCAGGTCTGGCCGCATCCTGACCCTCAGGATGTTCTTGGTAGAGGGCCCAGCCAGGAGAGGCACATTCCAGGACAGAGCCAAAACAGGAGGGGCTGGAGGAGGGACAGGCCTCGGAGAGTCACGCCTGGCTGGCCCAGGCAGCACCCACCTTTCCTTCAGCACAGTTATCTGTAAGCTCCTTGAGCGAGAGCCTGTGGGACAGTAGGGCCTCCAGTTCCCTAACTCCCCCAGGGCCACCTGAAGTGGGTGGCCTTGGCCATGCCTTTGCTCAAGAATGCAGTGTTGGATTTGAGATGAGGCCTCTGCGCACTCTGCACAGGGTGCAGGTGACACAGCCCTTATTCAGAACCCTCCCTGCACAATCCCGAATCTGGAAGGCCCAGAGGACAGGGGGCTGCCAGGGTTGTCTGCATAAAGCACCCCTCATCCCACCCAGCCACAGCTAAGAAAGGCCTGGGCCGGAGGCTGGGGAGGACCACCTAGCGTGACCAGAGGACTGGGCATCCCAGGTTGCAGAGCCTGGTCTCCAGCATGTGTACCTCTGATGGCTGGCTGCATGTGCTGGTCACTCTGGCTACGTGTGCTGTGGACGAGGGGCTTCATGCTCTTCTGGGGGACCCATAGTGACCGTGCACACTGGCATCTTCATATGCCCTGTGCATTCTGTCTGCCCCTGGGCTCTGTATGTAGGGGTATGCACAGACTGTGTACATGGCATCTATACAAGTGTCCCTCCAATCCTGTGCCCCACGTGTGTGCAACCAGCATTTATTTACACTTGTGAACGTAATAGCCAGTGATGTAACCCAAGATGAAGATGATCCAGAAGAGGGTCATCCCACCCAGCACCTTCATGACGATCCCCAGCTTGCCCGTGCACAGCTTCTGAAAGATCCTAGGGTGAGAACCACCAATAAGCCCAAGCCAGGGCTACAAGAGGGTTCCTGAGAAGGCTGTGGGGGTTGGGACTGCGTGGGAGAAGGCCAGGGCAGAAGGAGGAGTTCTGGGTGCTCTGCTGGAATTGGGAGTCACCCGTGCACCCAAAGGTAAGTCCCAGGGCCAAGGTCAGTGCGAGGGCAGGGCCTCAAGCATGTGGCTGGGCTGGCACATAGGCCTGAGGCCCGACGCTGGACAGGGCCAGTCAGTGTCTGCAGTAGGGGCAGCTGTTGGGCTCTCACCTGCTACAACATGAGGCCTCCTCTGCCCTGGACGTGGTGGTCATGCTGACTTCATCACGGCTGCTGTCGTCCCACCTGCTGTAGTGGACCCCACTCTCCTGGGTCTGCATGCTGTGGTCCTGAGAGTGCAGGGTGGAGAGACGCGACAAGGGAGGCAGGTGTCAGCGCAGCCTCCTGAGGTGGCCGTTGAGGGTCTGTCTGGAGGGAGGGGATGGGACAGACAGGCTGTCTCACCTGACTTAGGGGTGGTTGAGTAACTAGTCCAGTCCAGGGTCACATCAGGAGGACAAGGCCAAGGAGGAATTCCAGTCCACGGAGACTGGGAAGTGGCCCAGCCCTGACCTCAGGAATGTGAACAACTGCATTTTCTACTGGGGCCTCTTCTGGGGGCCGGGTTGAGGGGCTCTCCCTCCCTACTGGGCATTTATCAGGGGAGGCAGCCAGTGCTGCCCTCAGAGACCAGGAAAGCCTAGCCTGTGGAGGAACGCATAACAGTCTTCCTCCCCGGCCCTGCAGATAAGGCCCAGAGCTGCCCTTCTAGAGAGGCTAGGAAGGTGACGGATGCGCAGTGATGCGCAGTGATGGTGGCTGGTACGACCAGCCCAGCCAGCCAGGGAGAAGGCCTGGCCTGCCCTAGGCAGCTGCAACCTCATCCCCAGCCCCTCCTACACCTGCTGCCTCTGAAAGGGGTCCAGCGGGGCCTCGGGGGAGGGGGGGCAGGCAGAGGCTCCAGGCGGCCTCGGGGATTGGAAGTAGTGGGGCCTCGGTGTCCACAGCAGGACTGTCCCAGTCACTAAACCAGCTCCCTCCAGACCCTGACTGCCTCAGTGCCAGCCACCCCAGCAGCAGACAGTGGGTTGGAGCCGAAAAGAAGGGGATGGTGGCTCCTGCCTGCCTACTGGCCTCCCCTGAACACTTGACTGCGCATCTAATTGACCCTACCCTCTCACCTCTGTTGTGAGAAGCAAGGTGCATGCCGGAAGCACAGGCTGTGAGATGAAGATAACGTCAGGTCTCCTGTGTGCCCAGTACCCACTGTCCCTTCACAGCATCCCCCCTCCCCCCAGGACTGCTTGGTCCCCAGCAGTGGAACGCAGCTGGTTCTACATGATCCTCTACACAGTGGCCTAAAGGCACAGGAGGAAACCAACGGAGACACTCAGGACACCAGGATGTAAACGCCAGACATGATGCCAGGATGGTGGGGAGGAACATGAGCACCACAGTGTGTGTGCAGGTGGAACCTTCAGCCAACACTCGGCTTGAGGTGACCAAGTATCACTGGCGTGCGTGGGTTCTGTGCTGAGACTGTTAGGCTAAGGGGCACGTGACCGTGTCAGCTGTGTGCACAAAACTTCCCTCACTGTGTCCCTCACTGTGGGTGGGCGGAACCTTAATCCTCCTTCAGGCAGCAGAGTTGGCTGCTTAACCCCTGATCCCTTCTTTCCATGTCACCGGCTGTGGGCAGTGCCGGGTGCAGCTCCGGGGGCGAGGGAGAAGGGGCTTCCTTCTCCTTCCTGGTTTTGCGATGGTTGGAGCTGTAGCGACCAACATGCCACCAAGACTATATTCAGGCAACACTAACAGTGACAGTGCTGCCTCTAACTAACCAAACCTGCCTGCATGCAGGCTTTGGGGTATGAGGAGTCTCCCCAACTTGTTCAAGCCTGGGATGGTTCAAGCTTGATGCAGTACCCGAGGCTCCTCAGTCATCCTTGTCTGGACAGGCTACCAAATGCCAGTGGGTGCCTGGGGTCCGGTTCTCCGGGGCTTCCTTTCCTTTGGGTCTAACAGACATGGGCAGGAAGGACCTACCTGGGCCCCCGTCTCACCCAGAGCCTCAGGATGTCCCACCCTCCCCTGAAAGTTGTACATACGGGAATCAACGTGGTGCTGCTCCTTAAACCCATTCGCCCAGAGCACAAGGAACACCCCAACTTACAAAAGCAAGTCCAGGTGGGGCAGAAGCCTCGGGGGTCCTGGGAGGCAGTCAGGGTCTGGCCAGTGGATCCCGCCTTCCCCCAGCAAGGCAGGCCGGGATGGGACGTGAAGTGGGGCCGATCCTCCAGCCTTAAATAAATAGATAAAAGTGAAAAGTGACCGGGTGGGGGAGGGGCAGGAACTAGCCCCAAGGGTGGCCGCAGGGCCCGCGGGAGCTGGGCGGGCAGTTCCGGGCCTCACAGCCCCTGCGGTTAGACCCAGGCCTCCACGCTCCGGGCCCCCTGGCCCCGGAGGACCTCGGAGGACCGGGGGATGTGCCGCCAGGCCCACCGCCTCCGCCCGGAGCGTCTCACCTGCGCCCCTCGCCAGGGCCACCGCGGGGACCGTCTCCAGCCGACTG